TTAAATTTGGTATTTATTAATCTGTTAACTAGAATAGATATATAACCACCAGGCGCTATATAGAGGTCAAGACCAAAACTTGTTCATTTAACTCCTTATAAAGATGTAGTTTTAGTAAAAGAAATGATCCCACAAGTTTTTTGTAACGTTTAATATACATTATGCATTTTTATTTTCATCCAGCATTGAAATAATTGACCTCATTTAAATACACAATTCTATTTGTGGCTTCCTCCCTTCTCCTTCCCCCCCCCCGGTCCTTCATTATTCTCGAATTGTATTTGTGTGCTTATATGCATGGTCTCCTCTATGAGCTAATTTAACAACGTGTATAGTACTTAATATTTTTACATATTAATGATACACATGAATGAACATTCATTTTGATAGGCAAAATGGGCTATGCTTAAATATAAATAACAAATATTAATGATAAGAGAAGACTACACGTTTGATGAATATAGAATATTTGATAAAATATAGAAAACTTTAAGATTCCCTTTTTTTAAAGTCAAGGCTTTTAATTTTGATATTTGTAGTTCAATGCTACAGTTGAAAAGTGTTTTCTTAGCAAAAAATACAAAAAAATTATTCTGACATATCTTATTTAGCTGTCTGTTTTATTTTCATTTTCAAGGAGTTGATTTTACTGTACTTTTTGTCAATGTCACTTTCAAAAATTGAATACTTAGTTATTTTTGTCTTTTCTATATTCTGTGCATAGTTGTATCATTTAGTACAGATACATTATCCCTACTGAGAATGAAATAAAATGTGACTCATACAATCTGTTCCTCTAAAAATTAAATCAGACAAATAAAAGTTTTTGTTTCTAAGACATCTTTGTCAAAATAAGAAGATAAATGCATTTTCATCTATTAAAAAAGAGTGGCTTTTTTTCCTGCTGTTCAGTTGCAAATTATTCTCTTACCTATTATGTGAATGTGAAAGCATTTGTTGTTCACAGCAAAATTCTGCTTTAGTTTCTTGAGTCTCAATTTTTAAAGAAACTCTCTTCCTAAAGTGGCA